GCGCACTTGGACCAATGAGCCACCGGGGCACCCGTGGCTTATCCACTTTAAGCGAAGAAACTAGGCAAAAAGCTCATGTTGACCATTTTTACCTCAACCGAACAAAATTCAAGCACCAAGCAAGTAAATAAGCACAGAGCCAAACATAGGATAAAATCATATCAGCGCTGAGTCACTAGCATTTCTCCTGAATTAGTGCTATGCATACAAACGATACCTCAAATGAAAGAGGAAAGACCACAGAATCCAAGGATGTAAGCCTTGTCATTTTAAACCGACACCACACTCAAAGAACAGCAGGCATACACTTTACAGTCTACAGAGATGAGCAAAAAATTTTTCTTACCTTTGATATTTTGCAACAAAAAACTGTTCAAGGGTGAATCTGCACTTGCTATTGTCAGCCCAATGTGTCCGTGTTATAACGAAACTAGATCTTCCAGTCTCCAAGCATGTTTTTTTCTTTTTTTTTTTTTTCCCTCGGGGCATTGCTTTGAAGATCTCAGCTCCTCAGCATTCAGCTCGCTTGCAATGTATTTTCCTCTCTGTGATTGGCTCGTGATGCTGTCAGTAAGACTTTGCCAGTAGCCATTTCATTCTATGAGTTCTGATGCTTCCAACGAGCCCTAAAACATCCCAATCGCACAAACCTGAGCTACAGCCTTGCGTTCCCAGTGCGTCAACCTGAGTCCATGTACATGTACTTAAATAGCGCGACAATCTAAACGCTTAACTGGTTTGTTTGCAGTATTTTCGGTATATTTATGCACTAAATATTCGACAGTCGTTTTCAAAATCGTTTTCTGACAGAATCTTTGTACCATTCCGCGTGAATATTGCGAACACCACAGTACAAGTGGGGTGAGTGACGTGTTTCCCTGACTCATTCTTTATATTGGCAATTTGACTATAAAGTCCCAGTGAGCTGATGTAGCCTGGTGGTTAGGTTAAGGTGCTTTATCCCAGGCGACCACAGTTCAATCCTTAGCAAACATATGCACTCTCTTAGGCTTTACTAGCATTTTATGTGCATAAATAATTGCTGGGGTTTTTGTTCTTTTTACTTTTCTTAACCATTTTTTACATTACCTTTGTGTTTATAATTTTTTTTAATTTGCTTTTTTTAATAAATCTGCACCAGTGGAGTCAAAGTGACATATACACTGATTTTTGCCCCATGACAAAAATCTCCAAGGTGTTACCTTTATCATGATACCAAAATTATTCAAATCAACCAATTTGTTGCAGAGACATTTCATTTTGGGCATGTCATTTTCAAGCCAGAGGCTCAGGGCTTAAGGGGTTAAAGGGATAGTTCACTTTTTTTGAAGTGGGGTTGTATGAGCTACAAATTGCCACTACTTACATTAGATGCAGTAGAAAGCTCTCTGATCTCCTCCAGGTAGCCACAGCAGGGCATAGTGCTGGGTGGACATTTAGGCGATGTTGTGAACGGAAAGACAGAAACAATGCATTTTCGCGGCCTAAAAGAGGTCCTACCTGAAAATAATACACCATTTCAATTGTATGCTATATTTAAAAAAATTACAGCACTTTAGCTGCTCGGAAAAAAACACAGTTGCTCTTGAACTAACCAACTGACGTATTCCTCTGCGAGGCGCATCGTAGTTTGTGCAGTAGCGATCAACTGTTTGGGTCAGACTCTGAGCGGTTTGCGGCAGAGCCGGATTTTCAATGGCATAGAATCACGTCTGAAATTAAAAAAAAAAAAATCCCTACAATAACCAGCACAGCAGATACACAGTATGTGGCTGCGTAGACCCTCTGCGATATCAATTTGTGCTGCAATGTGACATTAGACTTTTTCACAGGTGTTTCACTCTTTTACCTGACGCTTGGGTACAGCAGTGCTCTTCAGCGTGCACCGTTGAGATTTCCCTTAATGTAGCCTAACAAAAAATCCTTTTTGGAAAAATGAATACTGCAAACACGGAGTTCTTTTAGGGATATGGGTGGCGTATCAATCTCCATGTTGAGGCAACTAGCCACAGCTACAAGTCCAATATTCTGCAGAGGAATGCGGTGGAAGCTGTAAGTGCACCAGGATACAGCTTTGCTTTCACGTCCAAGAAAGCGACACACACGGACCATTTTCGAAATATTTGCACATGTTAAACGGCCGTCCGACCTCGCAAACGCAGTTAAGCTGCTTGCACACTGGACGCGAAACAAATTTTTCGCACACAGATTACATTCAAAGTCAATGCAAAGACGCGAATACACGCGTTTGTGCAAGCAGCTTGACTGTGACCCAAACAGCTGATCGCTACTGCGCGCAGTGAATTACGATGCGCCTCGCGCAGGAATACGTCAGTTGGTTAGTTCAAGAGCAACTGTATTTTTTTCCGAGAAGCTAAAGTGCTGTAATTTTTTTAAATATAGCGTTCAATTGAAATGGTGTATCATTTTCAGGTAGGACCTCTTTTAGGCCGTGAAAATACGCTGTTTCTGTGTTTCCGTTTACAACAGTGTATCGCCTAAATTTCCACCCAGCACTATGCCCTGGTGCGGCTACCTGGAGGAGATCAGAGAGCTTTCTACTGCATCTAATGTAAGTAGTGGCAATTTGTAGCTCATACAACCCCACTTCAAAAAAAGTGAACTATCCCTTTAAGGTAAAAAAAAAAAAAAGCTACCCAAGCTTACCTGGCCCTTTGTGAAAAAGTAATTCCCCCCACCTTGTTAAATCATGAAATAACTGTGATTAACCACATTATTTCAGTTCAGTTTCACTGGCCACACCCAGGCCGGATTACTGCCAGACCTGTTGAATCAAGAAATCGCTTAAATAGAACCTGTCTGACAAAGTGAAGTAGGCTAAAAGATCTCAAAAAGCAGCACATCATGCCGCGATCTTAAGAAATTCAAGAACAGATGAGAAACAAAGTCAATGACATTTTCAGTCTGGAAAGGGTTGCAAAGCCATTTCTAAGGCTTTGGGACTCCAGTGAACCATGGTGAAAGCTATTATCCACAAATGGAGAAAACCTGGAACAGTGGTGAACCTTCCTACGAGTGGCTGGCCTACCAAAATTACTCCAAGAGCGCATCAACGACTCATCCAGGAGGTCACAAAAGAACCCAGAACGACATCTAAAGAACTGCAGGCCTCACTTGCCTCAGTTAAAGTCAGTGTTCATGATTCAACAATAAGACAGAGACTGAGCAAAAATTGCATACATGGGAGAGTTCCAAGGCGAAAACCACTGCTGATCAAAAAGAACACAAAGGCTCATCTCACAATTGCCAAAAAACATCTTGATGATCCCCAAGACTTTTGGGAAAATATTCTGTGGACTGACGAGACAAAAGTTGAACTTTTTGGAAGGTGTGCGTCCCGTTACATCTGGCGTAAAACTAACACAGCAATTCATAAAAAGAACATCAGACCAACAGTCAAACATGCTGGTGGTAGTGTGATGGTCTGGGGCTGCTTTGCTGCTTCAGGACCTGGACGACTTGCCATAATTGATGGAACCATGAGTTCTGCTCTCTACCAGAAAATCCTAAAGGAGAATGTCCAACCATCAGTTTGTGACCTCAAGCTCAAGTGCACTTGGGTTATGCAGCAGGACAATGATCCGAAACACACCAGCAAGTCCACCTCTGAATGGCTTAAAAAAAAAAAAAAAAACAACATGAAGGTTTTAGAGTGGCCTAGTCAAAGTCTGGACTTAAATTCCATTGAGATGCTGTGGCATAACCTTAACCAGGCCGTTCATCCTCGAAAGCCTCCAATGTGGCTGAATCAAAACAATTCTGCAAAGAAGAGTGGGCCAAAATTCCTCCACAGAGATGTGAAAGACTCATTGCCAGTTATCGCAAACACTTGATTGCAGTTGTTGTTGCCGAGGGTGGCATAACCAGTTATTAGGATTTAGGGGGCAATTACTTTTTCACATAGGGCCAGGTAGGTTTGGATAGCTTTTCCTCTAATAAATTAAATCATCATTTAAAACTGTATTTTGTATTTACTCAGGTTATCTTTGTCTAATATTAAAATTTGTTTGATGATCTAAACATTTAAGCGTGACAAATATGCAAAAAATAAGAAATCATGAAGGGGAAAATACTTTTTTACAGCACTGTATTTTCATTTAAATTCATTGCTGCACAATCAAGAGAGTCCCTAATTTCATTGAAGAATTTAAGCGTGGGATCAAAACTCAAAGGGGTGTAGAATTCTGCATTTCTTAATTGATTCCTTTCAGAACAACACGATTCTCTATTTTGCAGTATGACAGCATCCTTCTTGTCAGCACTGCATATAATAAGCAACTCATTGTTGGCCAAATCATCAAGAGCTATTTTGCTTGTGGACATAAATTTAAAAAATCTCCAAAATTTGAATTTGATTTTTCGATATTCTCTTTACAAGACAATAAAAATAAGTATTATTAACAGGACAGAGGTGTAAAATGACCACTTAGTTATAAAGGTGCAGTTTTCTAGATATTATAAAGCTTTTAATCATATTTCTGGCATTTATTATTTTTCAGATAAAAATGTGACAGTGGTCAGAAAATGTGAAATTTCTCCCATTTGCTCCTCAGGTCAAAGAGGTTAATCAGTTGATTTAGGACTAAGGGGGCAATCACTTTTTTTGTAGGGTCATGTAGGGTTGGATACTTTTTTCCTTCAATGAAATCATAATTCCACATCTGCATTTTGTGTTTACTTTGGTTATGAATATGGAATATTAAAATCAGTTTGATGATTTAAAACATCTGAGAGAAACACATGCAAAAATCGAAGAAACCCGGAAGGGAGAAAATACTTTTTCACAGCACTATATGTGACAATCCACAGGAAAAGGATGTATAGGGGATTTTTTACATTTTAGAGAAAAACTGTTTTTCTATGTTTAGTACATGGTAAGGGATCATCAGATGCACTTAACTCAGTTTGACCAAAAAATCCCTTATACACCCTTTTCCTGTGGACTGTCACGTATAATAAGATGTGGCAGGCCCAAGGAGGGCCCCAGCAGGGAATTGAACCCCAGACTCCAAGGTAAGAGCCAAATGCGCTGACCACATCGCCAGAGAGGCAGGCTTGTTGGCAATGTAGCCAGGGCGTGTACTGGAGTTGGTCTCCGGGCGCTGCTCTGTGGCTGCCCACTGTTCCTAACTATAGGATGGGTCAAATACAGAGGACGAATTACCCCATGGGGTTCAATAAAGTACATCTTAAAATCTTATTAGGAGGCATTTCTAGTGACAGGACCCTTCAACTGTCACATCTCTCCCCCTCTTTCGGGAGCGTGTCCTCACGCATGCTTTACGCATGCTGCCATCCATTAGGATCCCCCAGATCCTGCCGATTAAGCCATAATGTGTCAGGCCGAAGGAGGGCTCGGGCGGGGAATTGAACCCCAGACTCCTGGGTAAGAGTTAAATTCGCCTTGCCAATGAGCCTGGCTCTTTGGCGACGTGGTCAGCACGTTTGACTCTTACCTGGGAGTCTAGGATTCAATATATATCTGTGTAGGTTCATGTGTTAATTTTGAATTTCATGTACACAGTAGAACAGCAGGTTATCAGCCAAATCAGGTTATCAGGTTGCTATTAGCAGGTTATTCAGCCAAATATCACCTGTAATTTGTAAAGATGTTTAAAGAGTAACTGGCACAACGTGTAGATTCACGTTTTCACCTCCTCCCTGATTTACATCAGAGCAACGTGACCATAACTCAGAGCTTGGCCCAGCCAGAAGGGTGAGGGGGCAATCTGTGGTTATAGGACGTTTCGTCCGTTAACTATTCGTCCCTGGAATTTTCGTCCCCGGATTTTTTTGTCCCCTAATGATAACACAACGTGCCACCACTGTTGACAGAAAGATGGACAGACGGATGACAGATGGATCACCATGATATAAGGGTTATGGTTAGGGATAGGGTTATAATGTAGGACGAGGCCAAAGCATTATTGGGAATGAAAAATTCAGGGAGGAAAAGTCCGGGGACGAAGAGTCCAAGAGCCATAATCTGTGTGTCTGACCCAGCAGAGGCAGAGAACCCAGGTAGAGGATGGCCGCTGAATGGTCCCTACACTACAGAGAAGACAGAGATGCATTGTGGGTTACTGTTCTCTCCTCACCACGAATCAAAGCAGTACCGCTTCACGTGGGGGTGACCTGCAGCTCAGCTATGAAATAACTCTGTGTCCCCAAACTAGTAATATTTCTTTGATGCACAGGTTTAAGCACAAAGACCACATATACATGCTAAAGCAACTTATAACTCACTCAAGGACACATCCACATGCTCACATTGCACACACCAGGATAGGGTTCAATTACATTTTCAATTACAATTGCAGTAATTGTAATCAGTAATTGTAATTTAATTTTAATTGAATTTTTTATCGAAAAATAATTGTAATTGTAATTGAACATTCTGCCCAGAAAGTACATAATTGTAATTGTAATTACAATTACAATCAAAAACCCAACCCCGGCACACACTCTTGGCCGCTCTTATGCAGACATACGCTTGATCACATACATAAGTTTATCTTAAAGGCAGCCATTTCCACATGCATGCACGGTCAACCACACAGCACACATATAGTTTACTTTACAAATAAGCTGAATGTCCTGCTGTTACTGATGCCTATAAGCCAGTATTGTTACCAGTTTGTTCACCATCAATCTCATCATTAATGGATTATAGTACAGCCAGCCCTTAGCTGAACCAAGTTATCAGTAAACAGAAAAGGATGCAGAACTGGTGCAGAAAACGTATATCACATGATGCATCACACTCACCAGATTTATTTATTGATTTCAGTGATGGTACTCCCCTTGATAGAGTCTATGTATTTAAATACCTTGGACTTTGGATGGACTCAGAACTCACTTTCAAACCACATGTTGATTACATTTCCAAAAGAATTTATGGCTGTTTAGGTTTTCTATATCGGTCAATCAACTGTTTTTCTTTTCTGGTGAGAAAAGAATCATTTCCCAACTAATATTTCCCACACTTGATTATGCCGATACTGTTTATCAGAACACCATAGACTCTATCCTCAAGCCCCTCAACACCTTATATAACTCGTTATGCAGATTTGTCTTGAGATGTCCTTTCAGAACCCATCATTGCCTCGTGTATGAGTCCCTCAACTGGCTTCATCCAAAATCCAGACATCATTTTCACTGGTTATTATTTCTTTTTAAATGTGTCCATTTAGATGTTCCACTATATTTATAACAGTTCCTGATCCCATATCTGTCCCCATATCCCCTCCGTCATATGAATAATCAATTTTGTACAATCCCAAAAATCCATAAGGAAATAGGTCGCAGGTCATTTAAGTATAAAGCTCCATCTCACTGGAATAATCTTCCCTCTTTCTTAAAATCCATTACCTCTTTTGATAGCTTTAGATCACAATTATTTTCCACTTACAAACTAGCTGTTCTTGTTTCTGATGATATTGTTTTGTTTGATGATATCTCTTGATTTTTGATGATTTTACTTAATGTTGCATTATTATGTTGATGCTTCTGATGTGTATTATTATTATTATCTTGGTGTTATCATTTTTGAATAGTTCTTGTATTCTTATTATTTTATTATTTATTTATTAACTTTTCTTTTTTTACTATGATTGTGTTTGAGAGTTTGCGATGGGATGGGGGTGTGTAGGGGTTGTACTTTTGTATTTGAGGAAGAGCTGTTTGTATGAGCTGTTTGTATGATGCGTCTGTCTTGTATCATTGTAATCTATGTTTTGTGTTTTGTAATCTATGTTTTGTGTTGGGACCCCCTTGGAAACAAGATGCTGCATCTCAAGGGGCTATCCTAAATAAATTGAATTGAATTGAATTGAATTTAAACGCATTTACAAAGGCACTATTTGAGATCTGTGCCCAAGAAGACACATTATTTTCAGGATATTTATATATTTTTATAGAATTTAATATACAGTATACTATGTCATGTTTGATGATATGACACTTGCAGGATTATTTCCTGATGCGCATGCTCCAAATGTAGTTGCAGACATTGAAGACCATACTCTAACCCAGCACACTGTGTTCCTGATTATCCGCACCTCCGCATGCATACTGTGGCAGGCTGTGGACCACGCCGGGCATCGCCAAACGATCAATAGATGGAGCAAAGGGTAGAATGATTAGTGCTGCCTGATGCAGGTGCCGTCACCCTGAGCAATTGTCTAAGATCAATTTACACAACTCTAGCCCAAGAAAGTCATTGATACAACAGCAGTCATCAGGTCCAAGCTATTGTAGAGTCTTTCCAACACACTCACACTCTCCAGCTTTCTCTCACACCCGCTCTTTCTCTCCGACACGCTGCCGCATTCTCAAACCACGCAGCAAAAGGGTATTCCATGCTTCAACATCACTACATATGATACTGGGCAGTGTGCGCAATTGAACTTTCTGTGTGATGGCTCCCCCCCCCCCCCCCCTCTCTCTCTCTCTCTCTCTCTCTCTCTCTCTCTCTCATGCCATTTCAGAAACTTCACAACACAGCTGTATGACACTTTTTAAGTGCTGTACAAAAGACGGTCACACTTTAAATGAAGTGTTGCTCATAAAGGCTTTATACAGCATATACAACCCCTATTCCGAAATAGTTGGGACAAAGTGCAAATTGTGAATAAAATCAAAATGCAATGACTTTCACATCACACCAGCCAGTATTTATTCACAATAGAACAGAGATAACATTGCAAATGTTGAAACTGAGACATTTTACAATTTTATCCACAAAATGAGCTCATTTCAAATTTGATGGCTGCTACAGGTCTCAAAAAAGTTGGGACAGGGGCCTGTTTGCCAGGGTGTAGCATCCCCTCTTCTTTTTAACACAGAGTGGAGGTGTCTGGGCATTGAGGAGACAAGTTTCTTAAGTTTAGCCATTGGAATTTGATCCCACTCTTGTTTAATACAGGCTTCCAGCTGCTGGAAAGTTTTGGGTCTCCTTTATCGGACTTCTCGTTTAATTATGCGCCAAATGTTCTCAATCGGTGAAAGATCAGGACTGCAGGCAGGCCAGTTCAGCACACAGACTCTTCTACTACGAAGCCATGCTGTTGTAATAGCTGCAGTTTGTGGTTTTGCATTGTCCTGCAGAAATACACAAGGCCTTCCCTGGAATAGATGATGTCTGCAGGGGAGCGTATGTTGCTCTAAAACCTTTATATACCTTTCAGCATTCATAGTGCTTTTTAAAACATGCAAGTGTCCCACATCATATGCACTAATGCATCCCCATACCGTCAGAGATGCTGGCTTTTGAACTGAACGCTGATAACAGGAGGGGTGGTCTTTCTCCTCTTTAGCCCGGAGGACATGACGCCCATGCTTTCCAGCAAAAATGTCAAATTTGGACTCGTCTGACCACAGGACACTTTGCCACTTTGCTACAGTCCATTTTAAATGAGCCTTGGCCCACAGAACACAGCAGCGCTTCTGGATCATGCTCAACAATGGCTTCCTTATTGCATAATAGAGTTTTAGGTGGCATCTGTGGATGGCACGGTGGACTGTGTTTACAGACAGTGGTTTCTTGAAGTATTCCTGAGCCCATTTTGTAATGTCAATGACAGAATCATGCCAGTGAGTGATGCAGTGGCATCTGAGGGCCCGAAGATCACGGGCATCCAGTGAAGGTCTTCGGCCTTGTCCCTTACGCACAGAGATTTTTCCAGTTTCTCTGAATCTTTTGATGATGTTATGCACTGTCGACTCGATGATGAGACCTTCAAAGCCTTTGCAATTTGACGTTGAGGAACATTGTTTTTAAAGCATTCCACAATTTTTTTACACAAGCCTTCACAGGGTGGAGAGCCTCTGGCCATCTTTACTTCTGAGAGACTCAGCCTCTCTAAGACACCTCTTTTATAGCCAATCATGTTCCACACCTGATGCCAGTTAACTTATGTACTTGCTAAATGTTCTTTCTGCTGATTCTCTTATATATTAATTGCTTTTTCAGCCCTTTTTTGCCTGTGTCCCAACTTTTTTGAGACCTGTCGCAGCCAGAAAATTTGAAATAAGCTCATTTTGTGGATGA